GCTGACACATCCCTGGGAAAAGGTGTTGGTGCAGGTGCTGCTCAGCCTGAGCATTGCAAAACCAGGGCTGGCTGCTCGGCCGAGGGGGTGGAAACTTCCCCAGCTGATCCCGGGGCTGCAGCTCATCATTTATTTAGGGGTATCTGCATTTATATGAAAGATGATGCCAGTGATGCTCGTTTGGCAGCTGAGGGTTTCTTGGGGAAAAGCGGCCATGGAGCCAGGGATGCTGTGAGAGGCTGTTTCACTGCCAAGTCCTGGCATGGGTAGAGGGGATTGGAGAGGAATGGTTTGGGTTGGAAGGGACCTTAAAGCCCATCAGTGCCACCCCTGCCATGGGGACACCTTCCACTGTCCCAGGTTGATCCAAGTCCTGTCCAACCTGGCCCTGGACACTTCCAGGGATGGATCAGCCACCAGATGGATCAGCCATCCTTTCTCTGGGCACCCTGTGCCAGGGCCTCCCCACCCTCCCAGGGAAGGATTTCTCCCCAAAATCCAATTTTATGCTGAACTGCGTGTGGGGCTCTGAGGTATTTTATATCTCTAAAATACATCTGTGATAAGGAAGAGCTTTTAGATATCAAAACTAGCCAAAATTTGGATACCAATTACCTCAGATTATTGGATAGCATGTGAGGCACCTGTAGCCAGCTGTGGAAGTTTTGGGCACTGGAAGCACTTGGAATTTTTGGATGTGTCTCCACACCGGGCCTGAGGCAGCACGGACTGCTGGGTGTAGGTACCCACACCTCAGCACCAGCCTGATCCCACTTGATTTCACCTTTAATTCTCACGTAGGGAGAAATATTAGAAAGGGAAATCAAAAATGTGTGGAGAAAATGCCTTGAGATGTATTATTTACCTGGAGTGAAATACCAGATGTGTCCCCTGAGCAAGGCAGCGTCGTGTCCAGAGCTGGATGTGCTGAATCAGTTTGCAGCATCTTTTTTGAGAGCTGTTCCTTCATAAATCACTCAATCTCTGTGCATTTGGCAGATAATTACTGCCTCAACGAGGCTTCTCTCTTGTGCAATTTGTGGCTGTGGGAAATGCAAGGAGCTGCTGGAGGCCCTTTCCTCTGCCAGCCCCATGGGTGAGGCTGTTGCTCCCCATCTTTAATTAGGGTGCTGCAATCCCATCCCAGCCCTTTCCATGCCAGGTGCTTCATCCTGTGCCTGGCTTCTCTTGTTTTGTGTCAAATTCCCCATGATGAACATTTTACCTGCATTTTTCCCCTGTTCTTTTTTTAAAAGCACCTAAAGCTGCTAAAAATTCAGAGTGTAACTCATCCTTGAGTATGACCTTGAAAATAAAGAGATATTTCTGATTTACTCCATGATTACAAAGCAGAGATAGGAGCTGCCAGAGAAAATAACGGGAACAGCACCCTGGCTGCCAATGGATCTATTTCTGACCCTGCCACAATTTACCTTCATTTCCTCCCTCTTTGCTCAGTCATTGTAAGAAAAGCAGAATCTGGTTTTTTGTTTTTTTTTTTTTTTTAATATGGATTTGCCAGATTTACCCTCTTTTCTGACATGTGGATATTTCTCCTCTCCTCTTTGTCTTGTTTCCTGATTTTTTCCTCTTGCCTGATTATATTCCAGCACTGAGATTCTTATTTTAATGCAGAGTGTGCATGGTTTTAATTTCACTTTTAAACCTAGACTAATGTGTGTTGGTAATTGAGGAGGGTTCTAACTTACATCAGGCCACATTAAACAACTTCCATAGCCTATTTTGAGCTTGGACCTCCTTATTCCAACGAAAAGGAGGCCTTGGCTGTCCTGAAACCCCAGGATCAGCAGAGTTTATCAGCTCTTCCCTGTCCTGATGGAGCAATGCTGAAATAAGGGTGGAGCAGGCAGGGATGATGACAAGAGGGAATTTCTGGAGTTAATTCCGACCTCCACCCGTGAATCAGAGCCTTCCAGCCAGGGAGTTCCCACGAAAGTTGCCTGGAGATATTCTCAGGATCTGGGCTCCCCAAATTCAGAGTTATTGGATTGCTTATTGGAAGGAGTATGAAGGACAGAGCTGCTGAAGCAAGGGGCTTTGTTTGGTGCAGGCTGGGTGTGAGGGCAGCGTCAAGGGGAGCCTTTATCTGTTCTGGTGGAGTCGTGGAACAAGCTCAGATCCAGCCTTTGGAGCACCTCAGGAGGCACCAGCCCTCCTTTGTCAGCCCACAAACCCTGAATTCTCCATTTCCTGGGATTATTTTCCCTGAACATTTCATTGGTTTCAGCTCCTTGATTGCCTTGACTGTGACAAGTTTGCAGCAGGGCTGCTTTGGGTGGTTTGATGTTGGATCTGAGAATTTGCACTTTGAGTCCAGCTTTGCTCCTGACCTCCCAGTTTTTCAGTTTGTGGAAGGATTTCAGGATATTCAGCTGTTGTTTGGTGTTTGAGGGAAAAATAATTGAAATTATTTGGGTAGGGGTTAGAGGAGAGAGCTGCTTTTGCTGCGTGAATATTGATCATTGTGTGTGATTAAGAGAAAGTTATTTAAATCCACGTTCTGTGATATTTCATTTGCAAATCCGCCTGTTCTGCTTTAATTTCAGTGCTCAGCCTGGCACGTGGCCACTTGTCCATGTCTGTGCCCTGGGGTGCAGCAATTCATCTGAAGAATTGTCCCAATTTTGGCTCTCACTGGTGCTGCACGACTGCAATTTGCTGTTTGTGTGGTTCTGCTGACTGTCCCGCACCTGCTGGGCTTCTTTTACCATGGCTTAAGTAGTTGTGTGAATTTTTTCCCTAACTTCCAAATAATCAGGGAATTCAATTTATAACTGGAGCATCCGAAGTAAGAATTTTAGATTATGGCTGAATTACAATGATGAGAAAACTTTAAAAAAAAAAGACCAAAAACAGCAACCAAAAAACCAACCAAAAAACAAAAACAAAAAACAAACAAACAAAAAAAAAACCAAACAAACAAAAAACCCCCCAGCTTGTTTAAGATTTCAAAATTCCATAAACACAAGAATTTTCCCTGGAATTCTGAGTAAATTGGACACTCAGATGGGCAGGGGCACTGGTGATGATCCTGATCCCTGTGTTCCCTGGGGAGCAGCACTAAGGAGAAGGTCCTTGAGAAGCTGTTTTTGATGGTTTTGGGTAAAAGCTGCCCTCAGGGCTTTGGGAGGAAGGTTCTGGAGGTTCATGGTCCATGAAATTGGCCAGGAAACTTTTATGGCAGGATAAATGAGAATTCTGATGAGATGAAATGAAGAAAATGAGTTTTAAACAAGAGGTATATGGTGCTGGCCAGCTGAGCCCCAACATTTCTCATTCCTTAAATTAATGGGGCATTTGTACTTTCAGGGTCAATGCAGCTGGAATTGGATCATCTCCTGTTCTGCCTTTGTTCCCTTTTTCACTGCTGGATTATTGGTTCTCTTTCCTCTTTTTATTTGGATTATTTTTGGTGTGAACACTTCCAGCTGCTGTGCTACAATTAGCCCAGTGAAGCAATTAACTACAATTAACATGGAACTGTAATGAAGCAGGAGAAAAGAGACTTTTATAAAGAGCCTGACATCATATCCCTCACAAGAGAGCTGTCACCCTGCACTGGGCATACTGGTGTTCCTGGGAGCTCCAAATTTCCACCCTCCCACCTCAGTGTGCAGCTGGGATCCCATGGAAACCTCTTCCCATTGTCCAGGAATGATTTTTTTTTTCCCAGGGAAAAGGATTTTAGAGCTGGGAGAGTTTCCTAAGCTGTGGTGCGGTCTCAAGCTGTCAGAAGTGTTATCTCACCTCCTCTCTCTTTCAGCTGGGGAAAAAAAAAAGCTTCTGTTCCCTGCTGAGTGCCAGAATCCTTTGAAGTCTCCTGCTGGAACCCAGTGATTTGGAATATTACGTAGGGAGGGTTATTCCAGCTTTTCTGGATGCGAGGAGAAGTGCAAAGGGCTGGGGAAATCTCCAAAGGTTTTTAGCAGAGATTGTTTTCAGCAGCTTCTTTCCTTCCTAGTAAATACCTCTTGCCTAAACCCTTTAAAATTTAGTGAAGAAGGTGAAGAGTTCACACAAAAAAATGAGTTTCTACTTGGTTCAAGCTGCAGGGACCCTCCCCAAAAGCACCTGCTGCTGTTTCCCTGCCACTCCCTGCACGTCCCAAAGCCAAACACAGGGAACAGGCACAATAAGGAAGGAAAGTGCTTTGCATGGATCCCACCATGGCAGGGCAATGGAAATCCTGAACAAAGTCCTCCCCACGTTCTGTTTGCCAAATGAGATGTTTAAAGAGCAATGTTCCACCGGGTGTGGGCTCCTGCAGATAGCAGCTCCAACCTTTGCATTCCTGGAGACAAAAACTTTTCCTTGTGCTCTCAAAGTTGGGTTTGATGGCATGGGGAAGAAATCCACTTTTGAAGGAATCAAAAATTAATGGGAACAGGACTGATGAGGAGGAGCCCTGGCACTCACACCATCATATTTTCTAGACGAGCAGAATCTTTGGAGACAGAATTTAAACACACTTGGAGATAGAATTTACACCAACTTGCTAAGTAAATATTCTCACTTTTCACCTCCAGCATTGGGATTATGACTTTTAGTCTATTTTACAGACACTTTCAAGAAGAATGGCCCCGGGTTTTGCCATTTTTCATCTCCTCCAGTGCTGTGTTCATTACTCGAGGTGTGATTACAGCTTGGCACCTCGTGTTTGCAGTTCCCAACTGTGATAAACTGTCAGGACAGCTCCTGTTGGAGCCCAAAGCTCTCAGCACACTCAGCTATTTGATAATGCCTGAATTTGAACCAGATCAGAGGGTTTTTTCCCTCCAGAAACAGGAGAGCTCTTGGGCTGAAGTTCACTCACCCCAGATCCATTTAAAGGATTCTCCAACCTCTCCCCAAAACATTCACCACAAAATAATCCTTCTTGCACAGCGCCAGCCTGGCCCACACACATGCAGAATATTTATGAATGAGTGGGAAACACAGAAGAGCTGAGTCATGCAGCCGGAGATCGTTTGTGAAGAATAAAATTTTATTTTTTTTGGCTGAAAAAACTGCATACACATGTTCAGATCTGGGCAACCTTCACCACATGTCTTCGTTTCCAAACAAATTTGTGCTCTGAAGCATGCAGGAGCCCACTGCAGCTTGAGAAAGGAGTTAAGAGGGTTTTCTCTTTAATCTAGAACTGTGCAAACATCATTTGAAAGCTATTTACATTTTGCACTTCTCACTTCTACTAACAGGAGCATCAGCTGGTAGAGACGTGCAGAGTGCAGCTGTAATTTATGATTTGGCACCCACGTTTGATTTGTGTACAGTGAAAACCAAACAAGCCTCCCATCGTTTCAAAACCTCCCCACAGGCAATGGTAATAAATCTAATTTCTTCTTTGTAAAGGAGATCTCTCGAAGCCTTCCCTGCAGGCATTAAAATATTATTTCCACTCTGGATCCTCTTCCCCTGCTGCTGATTTGCACTTTGCTACCTTGGTGAATGGGAGCAGCAAGAAAAGATTTTGATTTTCATCAGAGAAGGCAGGAGGGCACTGAGACAGAGCAGGGTTGCTTCTTCCTGTCATCCTCACTGAGCTGCAAGATGAGGTGGAGAACTTTTTTCCAAAAAGAAAATATTTTAGACCATCTGAACTCAGAGGCAGAAACTTAGACGTGAAAAAAAGCTGGATTTGAGTTCATCCTCCTGTTCCTTTCTCTTCCAAGTTCCTCTCCCATCCATTGAAGCCTGGAAGTCACCAACCAGGCATGAGCACTCCAATCCTGCTGGATATCCTCATTTTTTATCTCCTCTAACCTGGCCCCTGCACTGTGTTGGTAGAACTTTGGGTGTGAGGAGCCACCAAAACAGCCTCTGCCAGAGCAGTTGGATGCAGCTCATTTCCAAAGAAATGAAAAATGTTACAGATTAAAAGAATATTTAATGGAAATTACAAATCTAGGACAGATTTTCCTCTTGGGAAATGCCTTTATGCATTCATTGTTCCTGGCTCCACTTGGGAAAGAGAGTGGCTGAGCAAGAATTAAACAGGAAATAGGGTTTGCTTCCACTGTTCATTGTTAAATGTGCTTTTTGGCATTTGAAACAATCTTTAAATGCAGGCTAAAAGCATCTATTTAGAGAAAACAGAATGATAAGAAAGTGTTCAAGGCTTTCCAGAGGGATTCTGTTATTTTCAGGTTTGAGGATGCTCCAAGCTGATCAGTCCATAGGGAATTCAGCAGATTCCCTGCTGGAAAACCTCCCAATGCCCCATTTTCTTCTACACTTGTGCTGCCTGAAATGCCAGAGCAAAGAGGCTTGGGCACATCACAGCCCTCCAGTGTGGTGTTCACAGTGAGTTTGGGGCAGCAGAGCCTTGCTGTCCCTCGAAGCAGCAGATCCCGAAGCAGCACTGGGACAGAGAATGGCTGAGAAGGATGGAACAGGAGATGGGGTTTGGTGCTGGAGGTGGCAGCTGTGTGGATCCTGTGCCATTCCCAGAGTGTCCATGGAAGAGGGGCCGTGCTCGGTGCCTCACTCCGCTCTCCATCCCCGGAGGTGAATCAAGCAGGGTTTTCCTCAGCAGGAACCATTTGTGAGCCATTCCACAGAGCTGCTGGGCCCTGCTGGGCCCGGCTCAGTTCAGCACTGCCCCCTCAGGCTGGGAGCCGAAGATCTGTGAGAAGAACTGCAGGGCCAGGCGGACGTGGATGGGCACGAAGACGTAGGCGGTGTAGACCACCATGGCCAGCACGGTGACCGTGATGGTGTGGAACATGGACTGCTCCCAGGGCTCCAGCACGTAGCTGCACGTCACCAGCTGGTACTGGTAGTACAGCCAGTACAGGTAGTCCTTCACCCTCTTCACGTCCATCTTCAGCTCCAGGGGGCTTGGAGGGTGCCTGGAATGACAGGGGAATTGGGATTACAGCGGGGGTATCCCGTGGAAACACTACGCAGACTCATTTTCTGAAGTGTCGGCGCCACCAGCTCCCCTGGACCAAAGGGCATGGATGGGTTCTGCAGCTGCTGCTCAGTTATTGGAGCTGCAGCAGTTGGGCATTCCCACTTCCCAGAAAAGCTGATCCATCCCTGGAAGTGTCCAAGGCCAGGTTGGAGTGAGCTGGGATAGTGGAAGGTGTCCCTGCCCATGGCAGGTGTGGCACTGGTGATTAAACTCCCTTCCAACCCAAACCTTCCTGTGATTCTCTCAATTCCCACATTCCAAGTGTGGTTTCCTATTCTATTCCTTGTGGAAATTGGAGAAATAGGCATTTTAAAAGAAAGGCTTTGTGATTCTATCAATTCCCACATTCCAAGTGTGTTTTCCTATCCTATTCTCTGTGGAAATCAGGGAAATAGGCAATTAAAAATAAAGGCTTTGTGATTCTATTAATTCCTACACTCCAAATGTGTTTTCCTAACCATTCCCTGTGGAAATCAGGGAAATAGGCATTTAAAAAGAAAGGCTTTGTGATCTTATCAATACCCACATTCCAAGTGTATTTTCCTATCCATTCCCTGTGGAAATCAGGGAAATAGGCATTTTAAAAGAAAGGCTTTGTGATTCTATCAATTCCCACATTCCAAGTGTGTTTTCCTATCCTATTCTCTGTGGAAATCAGGGAAATAGGCATTTAAAAAGAAAGGCTTTGGGTCAGCTTCCAGGAATGTTCCATAAATTCCATAAATGTTCCATAAACTCCATAAATGTTCCATAATTTCCATGCATGCCCCGGAATAAAGATAAGATTAAAACAACTGCCCTGTACAAACTCCTCTGCTTATTTTTGATAATGGTTTTTATTGGTCTGCAATTGTTGGGAGGAAAAACCAAGTTACGAAAGAGAGAGGGAGAAAAAAGTAATCTCTGGTTGCAGAAGGATTTTTTTTTTTTTGCAGTTCATTCCATAGAAATGAAAAACTTTACAGATTAAAAGAATATTTAATGGAAATTACAAATCTAGGAATGATTTTCCTCTTGGGTAATGCCTTTATGCATTCATTGTTCCCAGCTCCACTTGGGAAAGAGAATGGCTGAGCAAGAATTAAACAGGAAATAGGGTTTGCTTCCACTGTTCATTGTTAAATGTGCTTTTTGGCATTTGAAACAATCTTTAAATGCAGGCTAAAAGCATCTATTTAGAGAAAACAGAATGATAAGAAAGCGTTCAAGGCTTTCCAGAGGGATTCTGTTATTTTCAGGTTTGAGGACATTCCAAGCAGATCAGTCCATAGGGAATTCAGCAGATTCCCTGCTGGAAAACCTCCCAATGCCCCTTTTTCTTCTACACTTGTGCTGCCTGAAATGCCAGAGCAAAGAGGCTTGGGCACATCACAGCCCTCCAGTGTGGTGTTCACAGTGAGTTTGGGGCAGCAGAGCCTTGCTGTCCCTCGAAGCAGCAGATCCCGAAGCAGCACTGGGAAATTTGCACCTGGAATTAAAATAAGGATGGGCCACTCATATAGGTAAAAAATATTCCAATATTCAGTGGTTTCCTGCTCTGTTCTGGGGGGATATAGGATTTACGAAAATGAAGTTTTCCCTACTAATTCTCCCAAAGCATTTCCTTCACTTCCATCTTCCCATATTTCCTAGAGCAAGAAAGTTCCTAAACACTTTTGGGGACAGATCAACATTTAAACGTAGCAGTGGCTGTGTCTGTGACCAGCTTTCCTTGCAGGGGCTCAGCCTGGGGAGAAAGGCTCTGCTGCTCTCTGGCCAGCCATGAATGGAAGCTGATTCCTTCCACATCATTTATTGGAAGGCACAACTCCAGAGAGAGAGGCCTTAAAGCCCTGGAAATAAGGAGGAGAAGGAGAAAGAGAAGGAGGAGGAGGAGAAAGAGGAGAAAGAGGAGGAGGAGGAGGAGGAGGAGGAGGAGGAGAAGGAGAAAGAGAAGGAGGAGGAGAAGGAGAAGGAGAAGGAGAAGGAGAAGGAGAAGGAGAAGGAGAAGGAGAAGAAGGAGAAGGAGAAGGAGAAGGAGAAGGAGAAGGAGAAGGAGAAGGAGAAGGAGAAGGAGAAGAAGGAGAAGGAGAAGGAGAAGGAGAAGGAGGACTTCCAGGATTATGGGGTTTACACTGGGGTTAGGGCTGTGCTGGTTAAACTCATCCCTTCCGTGGGTAATCCCTACTGGGGGTGTCTGAGTGCCCAGAGCAGCTCACAGCCCTGTGCATCTCCATCTCCATCCAGAGCTGCTGAAGGACAGCCACAGGCAGAAAAAACATCCCCCAGGCTGATTTTACTGATGTTCCAGGCTGCAGCCTCACCATCACCCCTTGGAGGGCCACATGAATAAAGGATGAGGCAGTTAAAATGATGAGAAGCCCTTTGGGTTTAACCAAAGCCCTTGGCACCTTTTTTCCAGCCTGGGGATTGCATTTCCCTGCAGCCCCAGCACAGTAATTCCATCCTGGCAGTAATTCCATCCCCAGGCATTCTGGAATTCCAGGAGGAACACGAGCTGCCTTCGTGCTCTGTGGTCTCCTAATGAATGCTGCAGGTTGGGATAAGTAAAAGGCAAAAGCAAATTACAGCCTGTGCCCTCAGCACTGACACACTTCTGCATTTCATGCAGCCTGAGAGCAGGGAGCTGTGCAGGGATAACACAACTCCAGCTGCATAATTGATAAAGGAAAACACAGGAGGGGAAGGGGAAAAAGCCATTTGCAAGCAGCTGAGGCAATGAGAGATGAGGCTCCTCTGTGGCACTGTCACAGAGATCCCTTGGGGAAGGGACAATTTGCATCCCGTTATGAGGAATAAGGAGTAGCCCAAAACCCCACACCTCCAGAGGTCTGTGGCAGCTTTACCGCCCAAATTAACTGTAGCAGCAATCAAAGGGAATAGCAGATTGCTAGGCAAACCTCAGAGGCTAAAAATGTGTATTTTAAACAGGATTCCTCCTAGAGAGGCTCCACTTCCATGCCTGTGCTTTATTCTATTCCAGCTGGCACTCCCACTTGGAAGGGCCCTGAGTTATTCACTCATCAGTTCCCACTATTCCAGAGCAGGAGATCATTTGTTCTTATGCAATTTTAACTCGGCATTCATTTGTCTACAAATTTGGATTGAAGCATTCAGAGGTGCTGGGGAAATGCCTTCCTGTTCAGAGGCCACGGGACTGTTACAGCCAGCTATGAGTGAAATGAGGAGAATTCAGCTCCTGTTAAGCAATATTCAGGTTATTTTCAGCACTTGCACCTCCAATAGGAAAAAAATGCAAGAAGAGAAACCTGTAAAGCAGCTTTTAGTGTTTTAAGTGGCTGCCTGATTTTCTTGCTTGTTGACACATGTCTGTGATTAGGGCAGCTGAAAAGATAAATCATCATCCAGATATCAAGGTTTCATTTCAGAGCATGCTAATTTCCCAAATTTCTTTACTAATGACCTTATTTTGTGGAGTCAGAGCTAGCTGGGAGTTAGAAGATGACAGTGTTAGGTCCTTTAATATTTAATTTCTGCTTTGAGCAGCTGGGATTTGGGGAATTTCGGTCACATTTTCAATCTGCAGCTCTGACCCGTGGCCAGACAGCTCCTGCTGGGAAATTCCTGTGGAAAGAAACATTCTTGGAGGGGAGCTGGGAGAGACTGGTTTCCAGAGAATGCTTAAAAAACACCTGATGCCCTCAGCAGGAGGGGTTGGCTGAGTTACACATCCAGGGAAAAAGGGTTTCCAACACATATTCAGGAAAAGTTCATCTGGAGTGGGCAAAAACAAAGCCTGGAGCTGGAAATGGCCTCATGATCATTCATCAAGAGATCTCTGCTGCTTTAAATAGAAAGTAGGGATGAGATGAGAAATAAAAGCAGCAAACAATCAATCCATCTCCCAAATACAAATATTTAATTGGCTAAAAGTGACCATTTGCTGGATAATTGCTGGGGTAGCCCAGCAGCAAGAGTGGATGGGGTTTGGAGCATCCTGAGGGAATCCTCTGGTGCTGGAGCTTAAATAAAATCCTTGCACGAGTCCCTGAGGGGGTTCCAGTCCCTCCAGCACCCACATGTGGGTAGGTGCAGCCAGGCAAAATGCCAGACTGAATTTAAACTTGCCTGATCTGTAAATAATCCTGGATATTAGAAGCTAAATGGGCAATCACCTCCTTGGGATTGGAATGGAAATCCTGTCTGCAAGTTATTGATGTGGAGCTGTTCTTATCTGTAACTTCATGGGTTTGTCCTGCTGAATATCCTGATTTATCCAAGGCACCATCTTGTCCCTCTTAATGCTGACAGAATTCTGGGATGAGCCTAGGGATTTTATTCAGGCTGACAACTCCAAGTGCAAGCACAACCAGGAAGGGATTCCCATCCCCATCCCCATTCCCATTCCCATCCCCACGCAGTTCCATTCATGTTTTATTCAGTGAGCACCAAGCATGGTGCACAAGGGATCAAGGAATGAAATGATCAGTGCTTGGGAAGAAATTGAAATGAGGCAGCAGATTCCAGGGAATTCCACATCCCGGGATTTCCTGGGAACAGCACCTCAGCCTTTTCTGGGAAATCCAAATCCCAGCATTTTCTGGGAATGCCACTTCAGCCTGTTCTGGGAAATCCAAATCCCAGAATTTCCTGGCAATGCCACCTCAGCCTGTTCTGGGAAATCCGAGTCCCAGCATTTCCTGGGAATGCAACCTCAACCAGGAAATCCACATCCCAGAGTTTGATGGGAACACCACCTGCACCTGTTCCAGGAAATCTAAATCCCAGAATTTCCTGGGAACAGCACCTCAGCCTGTTCTGGTAAATCCAAATCCCAGATTTGATGGGAACACCACTTCAGCCCATTCCAGGGCATCCAAATCCCAGAATTTCCTGGGAACAGCACCCCAGCCCATTCCTCTGTTGCATCCCTGCATCTCTGATCCCACACGGAGTGTGTCCATGGAGCAGCAGCCCAGCCCTGAGATCTGCCTTCCCCTCCTGGCAAGCAGAGCCCCCACGTTCCTGCAGCTCTCCCACATGGAATTTTAAATTCAACCCCCAGCTTGTTCTCCCAGGGAGGAAATCCCAGGAGTGAGAAGAGGAGCATCAATCCCAGCACAGCTCCCACTGCGGACAAGAACGCACCTCAAAAACCACCTTGAATAAATAACCACCCCTGGGATTCTGGAGTGCACTGAAAGCAATGAAAGAAATATATATTTCTTCCAGGAGTGGAGGGGGTAAGGCTGAAAGACAAGGCTACACCTCAAAAATCACCTTGACTTGCAGATTTTAATAAATAACCCTTTCTAGAATTCTGGAGTGCACAGCAGAACCTGTGGGGATTGTTGGAAGAAATATATATTTCTTCTAGCAATGAAAGAAATATATATTTCTTCCAGGAGTGGAAAGGGAAAGGCTGAAAGACAAGGCTACAGCTCAAAAATCACCTTGACTTGCAGATTTTAATAAATAACCCTTCCTAGAATTCTGGAGTGCACAGCAGAGCCTGTGGGGATTGCTGGGGGGAAAAAAAATCTTCCAGGAGTGGAAGGGGTAAGGCTGAAAGACAAGGCCACACCTCAAAAAGCACCTTTTCTTGCAGATTTGGATAAATAACCACCCTGGAATTGTGGAGTGCACAGCAGAGTGAAGCAATGCTGGTTCCTGTCCCTCAGCACCCTTGGGCATCCCTTGCAGAGCTCCAGGAGATGTGGATCCCTTCCACGCGTCCTGTGCAGCACAGGATGAGGGTCTGAGCTGGGAAATGCTGGTGCTGCTCATGACTCAGCCATTCTGCACGTGGGTGAGCGTGGCTGGGCTGGGCCCGTGGGCTTTGCTGGAAATCAAATCTTCCAGGAGTGGAAGGGGTGAGGCAGGAAGAGCAGTGGTGTTTGCAGCCCTGTTTCTGCCTTACCTGGCTCAGGAGAGTGAAATTCCAGCATCTTCCTGATCTTTAACCCCAACTTCCTTCCTGCTGGCCTCAGTGGCAGCACGCAGGTGCTATTTTGGGTCTTTGAAATGCTGCTCAGTGCGCACCAAGCCCAGGAGCATTCCCTGTCCAGGAAGAGTTCCTGTTACCCCTGGGAACCTCAAACCCCTCCTCGAGTGGCAGTGCCACACCTGCACAAAGTCTGAGAGCCGACTTCCTCGTCTCCACCTGGACCCTGATCTGTGTGTGTGCTCCTCCTGCTGCAGTTCTGGGCTTTGGGGCTGGAATTCAGCTGCATCTCTGCCTGGAGCAGAGGATTCTGCAGCGGGGGATTCCTGTCAGCCTGCCTTGCCTGCTGCAGGGGACAGCAGCCAGAGAATTGCTGAATTTTCTCCTTCAGCTGAGTAGAGTACACAGATGGAGTTTATGGTGACCTACAACCATGTGGAAAAGTCCTTTCAAATGAGATCCAGAAATTTTTGACCCTCAGGAAATTTTTGATTCCTGCAGCACCCACAGGGATCTCCTTTGGAGAGAGGCTTCGGTACCAGCCCAGCAGCTGAAGGCAGCTGAATTTGGGGCTGATTTCCTGCCTTACCTGCCCCTGACAGCTGGAGGCTGCTCCCAGCAAAGGCACAGCTCTGAATAACTCAGCAGCCCCTGCCTTTGCAGCCTGGCTGATTTATCAGTGCCCAATCCCCTCCTTACTCAGGCACAGAGAAAGGAGAAGATGCAGCTTCTCTGTACCAACAACATTCCTGGAGCAACTCTGTCCCATTTTCTTCCAAGGCTAAATTAATTTTTCAACAATTTTCCTGTTCTTCCCTCCCCTGAAGTTTCCTTGGTTGTTTCCTTACATAACCAGCTGTTCCTTGCAGTTTTGGTACAGATCCCTTCCTTCCTAGCTTTCCTGGGCTGGGCACGGTTTGGGCTCTGGGTCCTCCCCCTGTGCCAGGATTTGTGCCTTGGGACAGAACAGGTGAGCAGCTCTGCCAGAGGAGATGGGAAAATGCCAAATTGAATCCCAGGGAAAGGCAAAAAGGGAAACCTTTCCCTCTATTTTGAGTGTAAGTATAATTTAGGAACATGGTTTTGAACAGAACTATCCCCAACCAAAACCTCAAATTTGGGACTAGAGAGCAGCAGCAGTTGTTTAAATTACAAACACTTAAAAATTGAGAGTTCTTAAAGAACTGTTCCGGAATATCTCAGAGGGGTTTTGATTTGCTCCTGGTGACAAACCTCAGTTCCTTGTGAGATTTGGGACATCATCTACATCCTTTGAAGGCTTCCAAGTTCAGGAGGTTGTGTAAACACATCAATCTACCAACAAAATAACTGAGATGTCTGGGCTCTAAAATAAGATTTACTTGCAGTTGTAGCCCTTACTTTACTCAGACTTCTTTGCTTTGCTCTGAGTCATTTCTGAGGCAGCTTGGGTTGTGTGCAACGTGAGGAGGTGAATATTGTCACAGCTATGACAGGTATTGCTGGAAAATGGGACCAAACTCTTGTGCAAGGGCATCTCCCTGAGATCTCATCAAAGGAAGCAGAGTTGCACCACTCCAGTCACTGCTCCAGAGGGGAAAAGCAAAAATGGAGCGAGATGCTTGCAACAGATAAGAAACAAAAAAGGAGATGCACTTTTTTCACGGATTTAACCCCATCTGTGCAGTGAGGAACAGCTTCCTTTGCAGGCTGTGAGCAAACAGGTTTGGACACACAAAGCTGTTGATATCCTCCATAAAACAAATGCAAAGCTCCATAAAATGTGGCTTGGCAAGACCCAGAGCAGCGCCCTGGCTGCCTCCCAGCCAGCTGGAGCTCTGTGTCCTGGTGCTCTGGGTGCTTTCTGGGCACAGAGGGGTGGCACAAGCATTGCCACGGGCCCAGGCTGCTCCCCAGGCAGCGTTTCAGCATCTCCCATTCCAGCTGGAATATTGGAATATCATCCATGCTCCATGCACAGCTTCCCTGCTTCTCCCCACCAGAAATCACTCCAAGCACTCCTGGAATTGCAGGTATTTGTACCATACTCGTGATATTCATCAGAGAAAGAAACCCCAGCATCCCAATTCCTAAAGCATTAAAATCCACATTAAAATCCCCCATTTGCCTTGTGCTGACTAAGCAGAGCCACAGCGTTTATTGCAGGGATTCTCCTCCATATTATCCAGCGTTTATCCAGCAGGGAATGCAGGACTTGCACCTGCTTCCCTCTGAAGGCAACTAAGAAAAGCAGAGAAGAAAAATCTGCCGGCAATGAGCATTCCCAGCCCAGCAGCGTGAGCACACAGTCTCCTCCATCCCTCTTCCCTCTCCTGGCTGTTTTACTGTTTTTAGGGAATCCCTAAGGCAAACCATCCTCCTGCAACCTGGAAACGCACCCCCGGCTGCAGGGCTGCAGCAACAAGTCCCGGAATCACGGCAGGCTCTGGCTTGGAAGGGACATCGAAGCCCATCTCAGGACACCCCGAGCCCTCTCTGGGGGCTGCAGGTGCGGCGGGAGCGCCGGCATCTCCCTGGATGGAGGCACAGCGCAGCGACCCCGGCTCCTGCGGCTGCCAGCCCCGCTCCTTACCGAGCCTGCCCCGCTCCTTACCGGGCCTCCCCCGCTCCTTACCGGGCCGCCGGGAACTCGCCGTGGCCGCGGCCGCGCTCGCCAAGGTCACCGGCCCTGCTGGGGATGCTCCGGGACGCGCCTCCGCCGCGGTGCCCTTGGGCGAGCCGAGCCGAGCTGAGCTGAGCTGAGCGGGGAATGAGCGCCGGCACCGGGAGCTCTGGGATGCGGGAACGCCGGGATGTAGAACACCGGGATGCGGGAGCTCCGGGATGCTGGAATGCCGCGATATAGAACACCGGGCTGCGGGAACACCGGGATGTAAAACACCGGGATGTAAAACACTGGGATGCAGCACACCGGGATGTAAAACACCGGGATGTAAAACACCGGGATGCAGAACACCGGGCTGCAGCACACCGGGATGTAAAACACCGGGATGTAAAACACTGGGATGCAGAACACCGGGATGTAAAACACCGGGATGCAGCACAGCGCGGCCCCGCGCCTCCCTCACCTCCGCCCCGCGCACCGCAGCTCCCCAGCCCGGCGCTGCCCGCGCTTAAATCCCCACCTTTGCCCCCTCCCTTCCTCCCTCCTCCTCCTCCTCCCGGCGCTCACCTCCCGCCCGCTCTGTCCGTGGGCCCGGGCCGGTCCCCGCGCCCCGCCCGCTGCCGCAGCCGCTGCGCCCGGAGCGGGGGAGGCGGAGCGGCGAGCCGGGCTCGGGGAAACCCGTGGGACGGAGCCGGCTGGCACCTCGGGCACGCCGGCTGTTCCTGCAGCGCCGTGCTTCCCTGGCTTTTCCCGGGAAAAAGCTGGCGTCGTGAGCTCGGCGGGATGCCCCGAGGCTTCTTATCGCAGCCCTCTGTCGCGACAGACAGCCTTCATATCGCAGCTCTCCATCGCGACAGACGCCCCTGCAGCGCGGTTATCCTGCCGAGGGTGCCGGCAGGTGCCTGCGAGCATCCCGGCTCCAAGGAGACGGGTGGAAGGAGCCGGAGCTGCAGCGCGGTGTTCCAGGGGGAGGAAAAGGGGTTCGGGGTGATTTCACACTGATTAGGTACCCCCAGGTGTCAGGTGAGGGGTGTGCAGGAAGGAGAGGCGGGAATGGACAGGAATTCACAAAATTTAATTTGAAATGCCGCGGAATGCAGCACGACCCTGCCAAACATGAGGCTCAGCTTTGTGTAGTTTGTTCTGTCGCAGAGATAAAAAAGCTTAATGAAATGTCCTGCTCGCTCCCAAACATCTACTTCAGCACATAACTTTGCAGTTGACGTGAGGAATAAAAGTGTCAGAAATGCTTTTTCCCGGATTTTCCCCTGGAGCAGCAGGATTCCAGGCACGATCCCCTCACTAAACAAAGTGTCGCTGCTCTGGCACCCACCGGTGCCTTCCGACCTCAGAGGAATGCAAACCTTTGCAGGGCCAGATGTAACAGCTGGGGTTAAAGCTGTTCTTTTCCTGTTTGAACACATTTTAACGATGCTTTAAATCTGCTCTTTCCACGGCGAACACCTTTAAGAGGCGCTTGCTCAAACAGAGCAGCGCAGGTGACAAAGGGGCCATCAGGAGTGACGCTTTCATTCCCAACCCAGCAGTGCCTCTTTCTGCCTCTGCTATTTTTATGGATGTTGACTGTGGAACTGATGCTTGCTTAGCCTTTGATAGGAAAATATTCACATGCAAAAGCTTTGTTCAAAATTTGCAGATGGTTGTGTCCCTTCCCAGCCCAGAGCAGAGCTCTGCCTGTCCCAGAGCTCTGTGCTGTGTCTGGGCACCACTCGGGGTGGTGAAATCCCTGAGTGGGCAGAGCTTGAAATGGCCAGAGTGGTTCTGTCAGTGATGGGTGGGTGGGTGTCACCCAATCCCCTAAAAATCCTGGCAAAAGCCGTTTGGGTTATCAGGGCACCTGCTCTGGTGCCTTGTGCAGGCTGCCCTGGGGCAGAGGCTGGGCAGAGTCCCAGAATAAAGCAGGGATTTATCCAAAGCATCTCCTCCATGGATCCACCTTGGGCAGCACCAGAGCCCAGCCAGGGCTGCACCCAAGATGAACCAAAATGGCCCCAAAATGCACGAGCGCTCCCGGGGTCTCTCCCTGGGATCAGTTCTGCTCCATTTGCACCTTGCAGTTCATTGTCCCATTCCAGCTTTAGCCCAGGCAGTCCCACCCTGCTTGTTTTTCTCTCTCCAGCCCACGGGGTTTGTGCTCTGGGGCTGAGATTTGGGTCATTTGTCCTTGGTGCCCAGCTGGAGCAGGAATTGTTTTGTCTCCCTGCTCTGTGCACAGAGATCACCATCCCTAATATGAAGTTCAGACCCACACACTAAAGCAGCACAGAATCTGGAAAATATAAAAGCTCAAACCTGAGGCATCACTCCGCATAACAGTTTAGGGTATTTATTCCAGGGCCTGAACTTTCCAGAGAGGAGTTTACAAAAAGCTGCCCCACAGTGTCATCAGTGCCCTGATAAGCTGCTGCTGCCTTGCTTCTGATGGGCACAGAATCCCTGAAGCTTGGAATCATTTTGGTTGGAAAAGATCTCCAAGATCATTGAGTCCAAGTGTTCCCAAAGCCACCACTAAACCCTGTCCCCAAATGTCACACCCCACAGCTTTTAAATCCCTCCAGGGATGGGGACTCCAACAGTCCTTGGAGGTCCCCAACACCTCAAGACCAGGAGACTGGGGCGGCTGTGCCAGGGCTGGACAGCCCTTTCCAGGAAGGAATTGTTCTCAAAATCCAAACTGAGCTTCCCCTGGCATAACCTGAGGCTGTTCCCTCATCCCTGGGCTAAGATCCCAAATCCCCCTGGCTGTCCCCTCCTGTCAGGAGCTGTGCAGAGCCACAAGGGCCCCCCGATCCCCCTTTTCTCCAGGCTGAGCCCCTTCCCAGCTCCCTCAGCCCCTCCTGGTGCTCCAGGCCCTTCCCAGCTCCCTCAGCCCCTCCTGGTGCTCCAAACCCTCCCAGCTCCCTCAGCCCCTCCTGGTGCTCCAAACCCTCCCAGCTCCCTCAGCCCCTCCTGGTGCTCCAAACCCTTCCCAGCTCCCTCAGCCCCTCCTGGTGCTCCAGGCCCTTCCCAGCTCCCTCAGCCCCTCCTGGTGCTCCAGGCCCTTCCCAGCTCCCTCAGCCCCTCCTGGTGCTCCAGGCCCTTCCCAGCTCCCTCAGCCCCTCCTGGTGCTCCAGGCCCTTCATCCCCAGGTGCACTCAGCAGTGGCTGCAGAGGAAGGTTCAGTGCTGTGTAAATGCCTCAGTTTGCCTTTGGCACACTCTGGCTTATCAAACGGAGAAGGATTTGCCTCACAATAAATTTCAGATTGGCTGATAATCGAGTTTTGTTTGCCTTGAGACAAGACAGGGCTGAGGGGCCCTGCCAGGCCCTGCTGGTGTTTCCACAGGGAAGAACCTCCCAAGCCAGAACTGAGTGAACTCAGGATTCTGAATTCTGAGAAGTAGGACAGGGTTTAATTGAAAGGAGGCTGTGGTTTGATTTATCAGGCCCTGCTGCTGATAGGCTCTGCTTCCTCCTGAGCTTCGTTCTCCTGCTGCTTCCTCCCTTGACTCAGGAGAAGCCTCTGGATTGTCCTTGCAAGGAATGAAAAGCAAATAAACAAAACAGAAAAAGAAAAAAAAATGGAAATTAAGAATTAACTTTTAAATTAATTTTCTATCGGAGAAGGGTTTGAAAAGAAAATACTTCATGTGGTTAAATAAATTTGTTTATAAACCTAACCCTTGCATTTATCAGCTGCAGGCTGATCCTATTGCACCGAGCAAAGGAGCCCCAAAACCTCCCAGTGCTTTACAATCAAAGATAAAATAAATAAAATAAAAGATAAGGAACACAAGCACATTTAATTGCCAACTTCCTCAGGGTTACCGTTCTCCTGTTCCAGACCTGCTTGAACCTCAGCCTTCCCTAAAAGCCTTGTGCTTCTCATGGTAAAATCAGACCAAATTACTGCATAAAGCAGATAAAAACACAGGAGTTTGTTTCCTTGTCTGCCCAGGGGCTGCTGCTCTGGGAGATCTGATCCCTTTCTGGTCTGGCCCCTGGGGATTTGTGTTAATTATTGCTGGGGACTCCAGCGTGGCTTTGGCTCCTGCAGGAAACGTCCAGCTCAGCCCCTGAGGAAAGGAATAAAATCCCTGCCCTGCCAGAGAGGCCAGGATGGCTTTTGTAGAGTCTGGGAGTATTTCCTGAGCCTTTAAAGGGCTGTCCCAGCCCTGCAGGAACACAACAGGCCAGGCTCTTCCCAGCCTGGATCACCAGAGGATTTCCCAGAAAATCCAATTTCACAGAATCCCAGAATTCCAGAATGGTTTGGCTTGGAAGGACCTTAAAATCATCTCATTGCACTCCTGCCATAGCAGGGACACCTTCCACTGTCCCAGGTCACTCCAAACCCTGTCCCAGCTGGCCGTGGACACTTCCAGGGATGGAGCAGCCCTGGGTGCTCTCCCCACCTTCACAGGGAGGAATTTCTCCCTAAAATCTCATCTAAGCCTCCACCTCAGCAGACTTGAGGATGTTCCTGCAAACCCAACAAAGCCACAGCCTGAACTCTTCATTTTCCATCACCGGGAGATCTGGATGTGTCTGCTCAGGTTTTGTCTGGCTGCTGAGGCTGTCCTGATGAAAGGAAAGGAAATTTCCAGGGTCAACAAGGAAATCTGGCAGAGTCTGCAGAATATTGTGGGCTGAGGTGATGCTCTGGCTGAACCTGAGATTATCTTGTTGCTAATCGTGCTCCCAGCTAATTTGGTGTGTGGTGATCCTGCCCACAGCCACCCTCTGCTGACAAATTAGAGAACAACCCTTTTATCAAATTCGAGAACAACCCTTTTATCTAATGACAGGGCAGAGCCGTCAGCCCTGTGGGGTGTGGTGACAGCCCTCTGTGGGATCATCTCTCCAGGTGCCACCACAGCTCCTGTTCTGGAGTTGTGGCAGCAGTGACCGGGTCTGACCCTCCCTTGTGCTGTGATTTCCTTGGGAGTTTTGTGCCAAATGAGTTCAGTGGTTCCTTCTGAGAAATTCCTTTTTATCTGTTTTATGTGGAATTGGGATTATTTATCAGCAGCCTTGTTCTCTTCCATATCAAAAAATCAATAGCAATATCAATTAATGTTCTGGGTTAATTGGCCTGCACCCAGCTGGGGGAGGGGCTGGGTGGAATTCTGGGATCAGGAACAAGTTATTAATTAGAAGGTAAAGGAATAATCAGAACAAGGGCTGGGCAGGATCTCCAGTGCTGGGTGAGTCACATTCCCACATCTCTGCTTCCTGCTGTGTCCCTTGGCCAATGCTGAATTGCTCCAGCCAGGCTGGAAGAGCAGAGTGTGTGATCTGCTGGGATAACTGGGATAACTGGGATAAATGGGATTTATGGGATTTGTTCTTGACCTGCGGATCCCAGCGTGCCCATCCTGCCACCCTCACTGGGACACTGTGGTGGTGTTCACAGGACGAGGGAAGAGATGAAGGTCTGACTCCATGTTTCAGAAGGCCGATTTATTATTTTATGATATATGTTACATTAAAACTATACTACAAGAATAGAAGAAAGGATTTCATCAGAAGGCTGGCAAGGAATAGAAAGGAATGGAATGATAATAAAATCTTGTGACTCTCAGAGACTCCGAGCCAGCTGTGATTGGC